CTGTAGAAGCCAGTAAGAAACAATTACTGCAACATACAAATAAACTTCCTTTTTCACACTTCTGACAGAGGTAGGATTGACTGGCGGCGTTTTTCCTCTTACAGAGCGTGACTGTCAACTCCACAAAAAAACTGGTAGTCAGAAAGAGTTTATTTTAGTCTGTGTTGTTACACAATGTGTTGGCTTTGACGGAGCCTAGTAAGGAAATTTCTCCTGCTGGGCCACAGCTCAACATACAAATAAACTTCCTTTTTCACACTTCTGACAGAGGTAGGATTGACTGGCGGCGTTTTTCCTCTTACAGAGCGTGACTGTCAACTCCACAAAAAAACTGGTAGTCAGAAAGAGTTTATTTTAGTCTGTGTTGTTACACAATGTGTTGGCTTTGACGGAGCCTAGTAAGGAAATTTCTCCTGCTGGGCCACAGCTGACTACCGCTGACGTGTATCTGCCGGGGGGCTACTCGGTAAAGCAGGTCAGCAGAATGGGCTGGATTAAGACAACCTCCTCCGCCCCAGAAGGGTTCATCTGTAACGTCGGCCAGCTTTACTGGTTTTGTTGAACGGGCAGACGGTGGCATTAACAACACACAGGAGGAACTCCTGGAGGCTCCTGTGTAACTGAAGTGCAGTTAACGTGCCAAATCCGTGGATGCCCTCGAGTCAAGACGGACTACCTAGGAGCTACAGCCACCAACTGCTAAGACATTTTTCCCCAAAATCTTCCATGCCTCCATCCTCTTTGGAATTACGTTGCTTTCACTTCGTTCTGGTACTCTTTTCTCCAGGAGATGAACAGGAATCTATTGTGCATGCTTTACCGGAGGGAAAGCAGCAGTAGACTGCAGAGTCCTGCATTAACCCCATTTACGGCCCCTCCTTCCTAAAGGTCAGAGGAGTTCCTGCTAGGTCATACAGAAACACAGGGATATAAGGAATATAAAGAACTTTAAAGCAAAGAGTTGAGTTTGAATTTAGTTTCCTATTTGACAGAATATAAGGTGGTTTCTGGGGAATTGTGTATCTGTGCACACTAAAGCACTAAACTTCACCCTTACAGCAGCGTTCAGTAAGGTTCGGCAGTAAGACGTCAGAAGATCCACAATTTAGCGTGATTTCATTTGGAGCTTTTGATTTTACCTTTTAGATTAAAGCAGTCTGAGCATGAGGGACTTCTGTTGGGCCTCCTCTTCCTCCTCCTCTAGCCTTATTGTAGAGGTTTTCCCAGAAAACCTGTAGCTTTTGGCGGAGCGCTGCAGATCGTCAGCCAGGTCGGGAAGGTGCTGTAGCCCAGGTAGGGTCTGCAGGAACGTGCCATTCGCAGTGTTCCCCTTCGTACACGGGGGATCAGTCTCTTGAGTGGGTTAGATTGCGCTTAGATTATTACCGCTTCTACATCTAAACAGACCAGAAGTCACCCTGCGTTGACCTATAATGCTGCGAGAATTAAGACAAAATTTCTTTATGTGAATAAAGCTCAGAGCTTCCTCTTAACGACCGTTCCCAGAGCAGAAATCGGAGCCCTCAGGCAGAGTCCTGGCTCGTGCAGATGCCCCGCGCTTGCCTAATAACATCCCCAAATGTATACGGGAAATATATTACGCTGACGACTGACAAGAGCTTCAAGTCGCAGTGAATGCAGCGCAAAGGGAAAAGCAGCAGGTCTTCAAAACCTCTGCTGCCCGCCCCGATTACACTCGGTACTTTGCTGGCACCCCCCCGCACCCCCCCAGGGTGGGACTACCACCACCGCTCCTTTGGCTTGCGAGGATTTGCGGAAAGCGTGAGGGAGCACGGGCCGCGGGCGGGACGGCGCTCAGGCCTGGCCAAGAGCTCTAATCCCCGGGAGCCCGAGGAAGAGGAAGGACGGCAGAGGTGCCTACTTAAGATGTCCGGTTTGCCGCGGACACCCCGATCCGCTGCCTGCGGCGCTCGCACAGCCCACCCGGCTTCCGACTGCAGCGGGAACGCGCCGCAGCCCACGGGAAGTTCTGGGTTACGGTGTGCGTTTGCGGGACGTTGTTTTGGAAACGATTCGGGACAAATAACCCCTGGCAGCGTTTTGCCCTCCCGAGCCAGGCTCGCAGGCGTAAGTACCCGCTCCTACTCCCGCCAGGGAACGCTTCCGCCTCCTCTGCCAACCGCTGGCCGGCGGCGGGGCGAGGCCCGGCTCC